GGAAGAGAGTTTACAGGAGGAAATATTGGACTTTGCACCATCAGCACTAGATGATTCCTTACCATAAGTGGAAGATCCATTGCAGGAGATTAATCTAGGGACAGAAGAGGATCCAAGACCCACTTTCATTAGTGCACTATTGGAAGAACCGCTCAAAAATGAAATCATTGCACTTTTGCATGATTTTAAAGACTGTTTTGCTTGGCATTATCACGAGATGCCTGGATTGGACAGAAAATTGGTAGAACACAAGTTGCCTATCAGGGAAGGATACCTTCCAGTCAAACAGGCCAGAAGGAGAATGTCCATGGAGACAGAACTAAAAGTCAAAGAAGAGATAGAAAGGTTGCTCAAGGCAGAATTCAACAGGCCGGCCATTTACACTGATTGGTTAGCCAATATTGTGCCAGTTCTGAAAAGGAAAACAGGGGCAGTTAGGATCTGTGTGGATTACAGAAATCTGAATGAAGCATCCCCCAAGGATGAATATCCTATGCCTATGGCAGATATGCTAGTAGATGGAGCTGCCCAGAACCAAATGCTATCTTTCATGGACGGCAACGCAGGGTATAACCAGATCATGGTAGCAGAAGAAGATATCCACAAAACAGCTTTCATGTGTCCAGGGCACATAGGTGCTTTTGAATACACTGTAATGCCTTTTGGCTTACGAAATGCAGGAGCCACTTATCAAAGAGCAATGAATTCTGTTTTCCATGATATGATAGGACATTCTCTAGAAGTATATATAGATGATGTGATAATCAAATTCATGGTAGCAGAAGAAGATATCCACAAAACAGCTTTCATGTGTCCAGGGCACATAGGTGCTTTTGAATACACTGTAATGCCTTTTGGCTTACGAAATGCAGGAGCCACTTATCAAAGAGCAATGAATTCTGTTTTCCATGATATGATAGGACATTCTCTAGAAGTATATATAGATGATGTGATAATCAAATCCAAGGAAGCTGAAAGTCATGTGTCGGATCTGAGAAAGGCATTCCAAAGAAAGAGACAGCATAAATTGAAAATGAATCCTAAAAAATGTATTTTTGGAGTGCAGGCAGGAAACTTCTTGGGTTTTTTGGTCCATCAAAAAGGCATAGAAGTTGGTAAAAATAAAGCAAAGTCCATCATAGAAGCTCAACCACCTCGGCACAAGAAGGAGCTGCAAAGTCTTCTGGGAAAAATTAATTTCCTAAGAAGATTCATATCCAATTCCGCGGGAAAGATTCAGCCCTTTTCTTCCTTGTTAAGGCTAAAACAGGAACAAATTTTCAAATGGGAGGAACAGCACCAACAGGCTTTTGAAGAAATTAAACACTATCTGTCAAATCCACCAATTCTGTCCCCACCAAAGAAGGGCAGACCGCTCAAACTCTATGTGTCTGCGTCAGGAACATCAATTGGAAGTCTGTTAGCCCAAGACAACAACGAAGGGAAGGAGCAAGCGGTATACTATCTGAGCAGAACTCTGATAGAAGTAGAAAGAAATTATTCTGCGATCGAAAGGCTTTGTCTGGCTTTATATTTCACTGCTATAAAACTCAGACACTACATGCTGCCATTTACCATTTATATCATTGCCAAGACAGACCTGATCAAATATATGCTAACAAGGCCGATGCTAAGAGGCATAATTGGGAAATGGACTCTGGCTCTGACAGAATTTGCTTTCAGATATGTCCCTCAGAAAGCTGTCAAGGGACAAGCTGTAGCATACTTCCTAGCCGATCATCCAGGAGAAGAAATTGAAAATATGGACTCTTTGGATATAGCAAATGTAGATCTATTGACAAGAGCTCATGTTTGCCTTAATAATCCCATTTATTCGATTCATCTCACACCATGGAAGTTGTATTTTGACGGATCAAAAACTGACTTAACCTCCGGAGCAGGAATTGTTCTAGAGGAACCTTTGGGAGTCAGACATTGTTATTCTTTTCAGCTGGATTTCCAGTGTACCAACAACAGGGCCGAATACGAAGCTCTAATCATTGGCCTCGAAATATTGGTAGAACTCGGAGTCCAGTCTGTGGAAATCCTGGGAGATTCTATCCTTGTTTTAAAACAGATTGCTGGAGAATACAAATGTTTGAACCCTGCCTTAGCTGTCTATTTAGTAGCAACTAGGAATCTGTTGACAGAATTCAGGGAAGCCACTTGGGAACACATCCCAAGAGAAGAGAACTTTGCAGCCAATGAACTGGCTCAAATAGCTACAGGAATACAAATCCCGGAAGATTGTGTGCAAAGGATTATCAGGGTAGGAAAGAAAAGTCTGCCATCTGTTCTGACCAGAGGAATGGAGGTAGATGTCAATTCTGCCATAATCACTGAAGATGATTGGAGAACTCCCATCATAAACTACTTGCAGTATCCAATTCTGCCTTCTGAAAAGAAAGTCAGAATCATGGCTTCAAACTATATTATGTGGAATGAAGATCTGGTCCGAAAAAGCAAGGATGAGATATTGCTAAGATGCTTGGGAAAGAAAGAATACATGAAGGTCATGGGAGAAACCCACGAAGGGATATGTGGAGCACATCAAGGTGGAAGGAAAATGTGTTGGCTAATCAGAAGGTATGGTTATTTCTGGCCAACCATGATGAAAGATTGCATTAATTATTCCAAGGGATGTGAAGCTTGTCAAAGACATGGACCAATCCAGCAGGTTCCCTCGGTTCCCATGAATCCAGTAGTCAAGCCATGGCCATTCAGAGGATGGGCAATGGACCTCATTGGCAAGATTTATCCAGCCAGCAGCCAACAGCATTGTTTCATCATTGTAGCAACGGATTATTTTACCAAATGGGTAGAAGCCAAGCCTGTTAAGTCTACCACGTCTCAAGAAATCATCACTTTCATAGAGGAACAGATCATACAGAGATTTGGTATTCCAGAATCAATCACTACCGACAGGGGATCTTCTTTCATATCTGGAGATATGCTAAACATGGCAGAAGCGTTCAAGTTTAAGTTGCTCCAATCCACTCCTTATTACGCTCAAGCCAATGGACAGGCAGAATCAAGTAACAAAGTGATAATCAATATTATTAGAAAAATGCTTGAGAAAAATCCAAAGCAATGGCATGAGAAACTGTCAGAAACATTGTGGGCGTACAGAACTTCAAAAAGGGAAGCAACTGGCATGACTCCGTATGCCTTAACTTATGGACACGATGCAATTCTGCCTATGGAAATTGCAGTTCAATCCCTCAGAATTGCTCATCAACACGAACTAGTGGGAGAAGACTACAACCAAGCCATGTTGTTAGAACTGGAAGGGTTGGATGCAAGTAGGATTGATACCCTCAACAAACTCTTAGCAGGAAAACATGCTGTGTCAAGAGCGTATAACAAGAGAGTTAAAAACAAGAGTTTTGAAGAAGGAGAGATAGTTTGGAAAGCAGTTCTGCCCCTCGGAACACATATAGCTGGTTATGGAAA